GGTCTTTACAGTTAATCCCCCTGTTTTTATGGCAACCACATTATGCTTTATTATGTTTGTGGCTGTCTGAGTAATAGGTAGGTGTCGTGTTGTCTAGCATTTTACCCGAATGCACTCTAAAGAGCTGATGTTCAGTTATTCCAGTAATTAAGTATTAAATAGGATGCTAACTAAAATGATGCTAACTGTGGCTGTTAATTGGCAACACAAAACTGTGTAAAACAACATCCTTTTACAAAGGAAAGTAATCAGCCATCTTTAAATGCACACTTAATCGGGCAATTATTTTGTATCATTATTAATATTAACTTCTATTTCATTGGTTAATGCAGCTTAAAAACTGTGTATGGAATCATCAGTCAAATCTGACAAATAAAATAAGATAAAATAACATTTTAAAAAAGCTTAAACATGTGGCTGACTTGCATGCTGCTACCGTTCATCTTATGCACAGGCTAATCCATATTCCAAAGGCCACTGCAGCAACCTAGGTTCAAGTTTATCACAGATTTTTTGCTCCATGTTTGCTAATTTTGCCTAATTCTTTCCCTCCTGGTAGTTCTTTTTCCGCCTCATTCAATTCATCAATTAATTTGGGATTATTTGAGAGACATGCCTCTATCTTAAAATATCTCTGGCTGTTGTCCCAATATAGTCATGCGAGGTTTAAAGAAAACAACAATATAGCAAAACCTGTTGTCCACAAAACAACAGGTGATACTGCTGTGGGTATGGCGTGGGAGTTTTAATGCTTTGGTTTTGTGTCCGTACCTCTGCGGAGCGGCAGAAGTTTGTTTTCCAGGATGTCTCGTGCATCTGTCCCCTCGTCCATCAAGTCCAACTTTGTGATCACACCAATGGTCCGCAGCCCTGAAGAAAAGTCGTAATTATGTTTTAGCATTCAGATAATCTCAGAATGATTTCAAATAAAAACTTATTGTCATCAGCATTAATAACTGTTGAGTAACAAATAATTTGCAGTTGCTGTACAATCCCTGAAGTTGCTGCAAAAATTATACCGAAAAAGTTACAAAAAGAAATATGTAGATGTGTGTAGGTCCACATATTCTGAACATTGGCTTACCCTGAGGGTCCACCTCCTTTGCTATCTTGAGGGCATCTGAGTTGGCCAGGTCTGTGTTTGCAGGGGTAACAGCCAGGATCAGACAACTCTCCTTAGTGATGAACTGTAGCAACATGTCTCTGATCTGATGCTCAATGTCCTGGGGTTGGTCACCGACAGGCACTTTAGTCATCCCCGGTAGGTCAATCAGGGTCAGGTTCAGCACTGACAGAGAAAAGAGGGAACGGTGAAAGTGATCAGACGGATGTTGAGCACTGGCACTAAGAAGGCTGAGTTTGTAAATGTGTGTGTGGTACCATTAGGGGAGTAGACACGGAGGTTGATGGGGATAGGAGAGATGCCTTTGTTGGATCCAGTGAGACGGTCTGTTTCCGCTTCGATCTCCTGGCGAACCTCATCAAAGTCCACAAACTTCCTTCCTTTACAGTGCAAGAACTCTGCATACTCTACATGGAGATAAACAAGTTTTAGACGGCAAGGAGAAAACCGAATGGACTGGAAAGAAACGGCACAAAGTAACACAGCTGTAAGATGTAGTGAGTGAAGCTCAATTAGTGGCATAAATGATGCAATTATTAAACCTGTATTGATATGGATTTAGAGTGCAGGATTGTAAACGCAAAACAATCCTGTGTGGTACATTTCTCCAGCTTTCTTCAAGAAAGACCAGATTTTCAAGAACTACTTCCTAACAACTGAGAAACAACTTGCCTGCTTTACTGTTAACCAGCTGGAGGATGAGAGGGCGACGGGTGACGATGCCAGATCCTCTGGGCAAAAAGTCCCTGAAGGAGAGAAGCAGGTAAAGTTTAACACAACAAGTAATGTTTAATGGACAGGCTTTTCTTTTTTCTTTTTTAGTTTCATACAGCGTTTACAGCACTTATGTTTTTTGCATTTCTTATTCTATTATAATTTATAATTCCTTGTGTTTAGTAATATATTTTACATAGCACTAAATCTACTTTTTTTATTTGTTTTGTAACATTTTTCTGTCTTATTATCAGCTTGTGCGGCATCGGTGAAGTGATCTTAAAACCGGCAAATAAAAGGTGCTTTACAAAAAGGGCTTGACTTATAAGTAAATACAACAACAAAAAACATCAATTTCATTTTTAAACTATATCAAAATCCTACATATTTAGCATCCCCTACCAAAATAAGAGTTCATGGTGTAAAACAGCTTTCATATACCATTAACTGGAAATGCAGGCCTCCATCTGAGGTTTTGCATTATTAATGCAAACCCAAGATTGACTTGCATCCCTGTTCAATATAAATAGTGCAAAGACAAACAGATGTCTCCCACTGTTTGCCCTTCTCATTACATACACATTCATCACAATGGAAACTCCTGTCCGATAGAATCGTGATCATTTCCAGGTCACCGACTACACATCTCTCTGGGCCATGAAAATATGTCCTTATCTGTTTTTCTGTTTGCATGCCCAGCCAGCAGCAAGGTCCACGTTTTATTGTAAGGTAAATAAGCCCCACGCACTAACATATAATGATTTGAAGCTATACACATGTATACAGCCTCTGCTTGTACTCATTGCTGACAGTGCAGGGAGGAAATTGCACAACTGTGGACCCATCCTGTTTTTTTCTCTCTCTTCCTGTCACTTATGAAACCACAACATGAATCGGTTGAAGCAGCGGGTCGTCTAAACTGGAATTGCAAAGGACACTGCTAACTGTTTTCTGTCCTCTAAACCAAGTACAATTTAAAAAAACAACAACTGATGATTTAGTCCACCAACACAAAATTAATCATGAACATTTTGCATTATGATAATCTTTTCTTTTCTTTTTTTTAAACAAACAAAAATTTAATTTTGGGGGGTAATTTTACATTATAGCAAAATGTAAAAGGAACATTTTTTTCCCATTTAGTGGAGAACTAAAATAAGGGAAACTTGTCAACATTTTATAAACAATAAAATAAAACAATAAAATAGAAAAAAAACCCTACATCAATAATCGAAACTGTTAGCCGGATGTGTCTGACAAAAACTAACTTCCACCTTCGTAAAACAAGTAAACACCCCAATCTCAAAACGCAGTGCTTCATCTCTGAATGTCAGTGGAGCAACTAACAAACATGAAAACAGCTCTGTACTCTTCTGTGGGTATCTGGTGGTACCCAGTGTGTCATATACACATGACAGTGCAGCTGGTGACATCACTGATGACCCCAGCACAAACACATCAATGCCTCTACTGTCTCCCTCGGCCACTGCTTGGGACTTGGAGACAAAAGGAAACGGGGAAAAAGGAGACATGGCAGCCTAATCCACATTCCCGATCTCTTGAACAACAAATGAAATCATTTGGACATGTAGTCGATTAAAGTGGTCCTGTTACTTTATTACTAAACTCAAACTGTGGATTAGGCCCCTATAACTGCATTACGGCCATGTCACATTCCCCTTCCGGATTTTGTTTCAAGCTATGTCAATGTGTTTTTAATGTAAAATACTGATTATTTTACACAACGTAATAAAGCGAGCAGAGTGCCTCAAACATATGGCAATAATGTAACAGCTGTTTTACTGCTATTTATCATCAAGAAGAATCATACACTGCTTACTGGAATTCCTTCTAGCTCATTCATCAGCCTCACAAAGAAATTCAACAGTGCTTAGCATGCTGAGAGGGCAGAGTCAAGGCATTTTCAAATATATACGATGGGTGTAACTGTCTCATAATAAATGATCAATCCACGATGACTTCATCATAACTGCTAACAACCTTTACATACCTCACCCTTGAAAGTAAAACATTTACCTGACCTGTGTAATTTGAGGACTATGAAGCTATCTTTCTTTTCAGAATGAGCAGTCTCAAGGAAAACAGCCTTTGTAAATGTTTGACAGAATGGGCCTAATAGGAAGCAATGACTGGAAAGAACAGTGGACACAGATCTAATGAGAAAGTCACATTCTTGACTGTATAGTTCAAGAACATGGACGCTAAGACGAAAGCTTTTATTTTTTTTATTGCACTTTACTTTAACACTCGTTTTGTACCAGTTCTGCCAGTCACTAAACAAACAGCTGTGTTCTTGCGTAAAATGCGTAATTATCGATCGTGAATAGCACAGCTCCATAATGGAAATAATCTGTTGGAAAACTGGGAGGCTCCGACACACAGACGCGTAACCAAGTGTTTAGCTGGCGACTTTTACGCAAAAGCTCTGGGTTGTTTTTATTAAAGGAACAACGAGAGACTCCTGCCAAAAAATGAAAGTTAAGCTTCAGTGTCAGTTTGAGCCAATTCTACATATTAACGGTACAACCTCCCAACGAAATTCTCCAACACGGAACTCTTCCCTGCACTCTGACCGCCGACGACCGCTATCTGAGGCAGGTCCAAGTTGCAGGTCTGGCCGATAGAGCTGAAGGCGTCTTGGAGCTTGTTGATGAGGGGAATCAAGTCTTCCATTCCCCGGTTTCCCATAGCTGCAGCTCGGTCAGCTCAGTGGGCTTTATTCTGCTCTCCTCCACGGTCAAACAGGAGCCAAGAGGGTCTCTTGTCCAGCAAACCAAAAGTTCCCAAATGGCAGTGCAGTCTGTCACAGGCTCGGGGAGTTTATTTCAGTACGACACGAGAGAGCTAAGAGTCAGAAGTCCCACCAGCCTTTAGTAAACTCGCAAGAGTCTTAAATGTGTGATCGCATGATAAAAGTCGCCACATTAAACTGAAAACTTCTGTCATCATCCGGTCAGGCGACACCCAGCCTCCGCCGGAGATTGTAGCTCCGCCTGGAGCGTCATTTTGGTCAGTTATTGGTCGTTTGGGATGTCTGTCAGTGTACACATACATATGTCATCATTTTTATGACAGAGCACAGTAGTTTTTGAACTTTGACAAATTAGAAAAGAGACTTATATTATTCATAAAAACACTCGTTTCACCACTGGTACTAAGAAACAACGATTTTGAATTTCAAGTTAAATTCCTAAACAGTATTTTTCTTTGTTTTGTCTGTAATGTTTTTGCTTTATTTAATTTTATTTACAAGGTTGACTGTACTTTTTGTCTCTTTAATGAAATTATTTTAGGAGCATCTGCAGTGAGACTCATAACTTTCTTATGTAAACAATAAATTTACTTACATCCCCAGAAGGAATAAACATTTTATTAACAACAACCCTTTTCTTTATATTTCGTTATTTCAAAGAATCTTACACAAACTGCTTTGTTTTATGAAGCACTTTCTCTACTGTATTTACCACATTAATTTCCTTTGTCTTTACTTTTCAGCGAATACAAAAGAATAAAACAAAACACTTACTTACTATGACAGACTGTTACAGAGAGGTATTTACAGGCAATGTGATAGTGAATTATGATATGGTTCATACAATGAAGCACACGATAACAAATACAGTTATCTACTTATAAGCAGCTGATCACCAAAGAGTCCACAAGAGGGAGTTGCAGAGCAAAATAAGATACAAACACTGAAATGCTCGGTGGTCAAACGTAAAACAGGAAATCATAACTGCATGCTTGAATTATAAAAACAAATAGGATAAAAATCATAACAAGACACAAGGAAAAGCTCATCGTAGTTTAAATATTAATTTATCTTAAAGAAATGGAAACTAAACATGTTTTACTCCATGTCAAATTGTGTGTGGTTTATTCATCAGCTGCACCTTCAGGCACTGCCAACCTCTGAACTGTATTAAACTGTTCCATTAACTACTACTGAAAAAGAAACAAACCGGGAACTATTTCTTAGGAATATTCATTTTCTTAATCAGTGATCAGATATTTAAGTGATGATACCCTTTCTAAATATTGTAAACTACTTTTTGACCAATTACTTGTTTAAAAAACCCAATAATTTATGTTCTCATTTTTGTGACACTGAAGTGTCGACCATAGCAAATTTAAATTTTTACTAAAAACCACTAACTGAAATCAGACGTGTATGCGACCTAAATATTTGTAATTGTAATAACTGTAATATTTAAACCACATTTCTATAGTTACACCTGAAGTGCTTCAACCTTTTTCCTATTATTTTAAGATTACAGATAGTATCTATGCATAGAGAATATTCAGCTCCTTCACAGCATCACTATATTATTGCTCCCCTTGTCTTATAACAGTTGAATAGAGAGTTGTCTCAGGTGCTTGATTACTGGTAGCACTATGTCCCCTGCCAGCGGAGCTATTTTTCTTAGTGTCAGGAAGTGTTTTTCCACCAGTGTGGAAACCCACAGTGGTATACTGAAGCATGTCTGCAGAAGGACTGATGACATCTTGTCCCATGGGAGTAGAGCCATTTTCACTAGTGACAGGAAGCATTCTTTCATCTTTTTGGAAATCCACAGTGGCATAGTGGACTATGTCTGCAGGAAGATTGACATTGGTATCCTTCTGAAAGTCAACATTAGCATGGTAGACCAGGTCTGGAGGAGGGCTGGTAACAGCACAAACAGAGGGCAGTGAGCTATCTTGCTGTCTCCGTATGTTAATCTCTTCATATTGATGATCTCCAGTATTTCCCTGGGGGAGCAATGAAGAGCAATGGTG